ATGGGCACTATATTTGCCCTTTTCCAGTCTACTGGAATTTCTCCTGTCTCCCGTGATTTTCCAAAGATGATAGCTAGAGGCTCATATACCTCCTCTATCAGCTCCTTGAGTATTCTAGGTTGCATTTCATCAGGCCCTGGTGACTTGCAGGCATCTAGCTTTTTATTTTTAACTTGTTCTTTTTTTATTTTATCTTCTAAACCTACCGCCTTCCCACTAGCATTCACTATGTTAGACATTCCTTCAGACTTCTCGGTGAAGACCGAAACAAAGAAGTCATTGAGCATCTCTGGCATTTCCAAGTTTCCTGTTACTGTTTCTCCCTCCTCATTGAGCAGTGGGCCTATCTTGTCCTGGTCTTCTTGTTTCTAATGTATTTTTAAAAAGTCTTCTTGTTTCCCTTTATTCCCGTAGCTAGTTTGAGTTCATTTTGTGCCTTTGCCTTTCTAATTCTGCCCCTGCATTCCTGTGTTGTTTGCCTATAGTCATCCTTTGTAATTTGCCCTACTTTCCATTTTTTATTTGACTCTTTTTATCCGCCTTCCTGAAATCCATTGTCTCTCTTTTGCTGTTCTCCCTTCTACCCTTCCTTAGAATTGTGAACTCTATGTTTTCATGATCACTTTAATCCAACCTGCCTTCCACTTTCAAATTCCCAACCAGCTCCTCCCTATTTGTTAGGATCAAATCTAGAACAGCTTCCCCCCAGTAGCTTTTTCAACCTTCTGAAATAAAAAGTTGTCTCCAATGCAGTCCAAGAATTTATTGTATAGTCTGTGCTCCGCTGTGTTATTTTCCCAACATATATCTAGATAGTTGAAGTCCCCCATCACCAACAAATCTTGGGCTTTGGATGATTTTGTTAGTTGTTTAAAAAAAGCCTCATCCACTTCTTCCACCTGGGTAGGTGGCCTGTAGTAGACTCCTAGCATGACATCACCCTTCTTTTTAATCCCTTTTAGCCTAACCCAGAGACTCTCAGCACTTCCATCTCCTATGTTCATCTCTACCTCACTCCAAGTGTGTTCATTTTTAATATATAAGGCAACACCTCCTCCCTTTTTTCCCTGTTTATCCTTCCTGAGCAAGCTGTACCTTTCTATACAAACATTCCAATCATGTGTATTATTCCACCAAGTTTCTGTGATGCCAACAATGTCATAATTGTACTTCTTTATTAGCACTTCCATTTCTTCCTGCTTGTTTCCCATACTTTTCGCATTTGTATATAGACATCTAAGATCCTGATTTGACCTTGCCTCCCAGTTTTGCCCTGACCCTCCTTTCTCTCTGCCATTATAGCCCATGCTCCGTCCCATTTCCGACCCATCTCCCAGGTCTCCATGTTCTCCACTTACTCGTGGGCTTTGCTCACCTGCGTCGAACCTAGTTTATACTATCCTAGCTATTTATACTTTTATTATGTTTGTGTCACATAAGATGATGACATGTAAAATGTCTCTTTCACCAAGAGGTCTAGGTGCCATACAGGGGTTAAACCAATTATCAGTCCATTCACGAAGGACACTCCTAACAAACCTTCCTCTGTTTAAATGACTTTTATTTAAAGAAATTTGTTTTCTCTTTATTTGCCTTTGGTTTGATGAGAAACATTGTTGAGCAGTTCTACCACAATTGTCAATGGAGTGTGCAAAAAAGTACAGCTTGTAGAGTAACCTGAAAATAGCAACACTGGGATGCATTCTAATCTCCACTAAGTATAAAGAGTTCCATCACTGAGGACTTTCCATCAGGCTTCCCCCATCTCCCAAGAGTTCCTCTTTGGGCTCTAGCAGCAATAACAGCCATACTGAGCCTAGATGTTGCAGTGGGGAGAAGAGAAAGAGGCAAGCATTTAGATAGACCCTAGCCCATTAATTTCTTTAAATGTTAGGACCAGGACTTTGAAGTGAATATGCAACTGAATAGAGAGTTAGTGGAGAGCACAGAACATAGATGTGAATATTTCTTGCTAGCAAGTGGAAAGCTGTATATTGCACCTGATAAAGCTGTCACACAGTTTTTACAGGCAGCCCCAGGTCAAATGTGCTGCAGTAGTCTAACTTACAGGCAAGGAACTTATGGATAAGAGTAGCTGGTTCATCACCTCACAGGGAAAAATCACAATCTCCTAGTTAAGCAAACAAAGATGATTTGGAAATACTCAAAGCGTAGTAAACATGCATCAGATTTTGCCTTTGGTTACATCTTTGCAACTTCAGTGAAGTCAATGCACTATGAAATGAAGCACATACATGTACCCCACAATATGCACTAGAAGTAACTGGTGTGATTCAGGAGAAACACAGAGATACCACTTTTTCTTATTCTGTCAAACGGACGGAAGTATTTAGTAACTTTCTATACTGTACATTAACCGTAGTGTGTGTGTTATATATATATAAAAATCACCATCTATTGAACAGATTTGTTACTCCAAAAAACAAATAAAATGATTGGATTGCATTTTTGCCTATTTTGTGTTCCTTAATATTTTTATTACTGCTTTATCTTCAAATGCTACTAGTTATACTACACCCTTACTTTCCATTGAATCATTGATTAATGGACAAGTGACACTATGATGGATAATCAAAAGAAGTATCATAGAAAAAAATAAGAAAATGTATAAAGTGACATAAAATTGGGGGGAATCCCTCTGTAAGCTTTCTTGTCTTGAATTTCTTCTCACAGTTCTTAATTCTGTCACCGTACACTGCTGCTCGTGTGACTCACATGCTGTAGTCACAAGCTGATATTTGCATAAAGTGCATTTTTTTCTTGGATAACTAAATTGATATGGCACATAATAATGTCTTCAAAGAACCAATCCCAGAGTTGCCTCTCATTGTTAAACTGAAAGAGCTAAATACTGAGAGGTACTAAGCATCTGTATCTTCTGTATTCAGATGATTTCAGTAGTAGTTGTGACTGCTCAGCAGGTGTTCTAAACACTTAGCTTAAAACATGAACAATCACGTAACCAAATA